CAGGAATTCTTTTTCCCAAATATGTACTATAATCTAAAATAATTTTTATCTTTGCTTAGGCTTTCTGATTGTCCTGTCATCCAGTTCTTGTTGAACCTGGTACATCTTCCTCATGTATGAGGAAGATAAGGTCTCCCTCACAGCCATTTGCCTCAGTGTTCTTTCTTATTTATTTATTATTTCCAATTGGGAAATATATATATACATGTAACTCATTACTTTAGTCTGCCATAGAAATACTATCACAGAGTTATATATATTGTAAAGCTATGTTCTAAAATATTATCAAAAATTGATTTGAACACCTCCAGCCATACAAAAAGCTTCTTGACATATTTTATAAAAATCACTGTTGGAAATATTATCCATTCCGACTTTGTTTTCCAGCGATGCCTCATAAAAAGATCTATGCTAAATATTTCCCTTAGAATTTAGAACTAAACAAGCTTTGTTTTTGGTCTCTGAACTGATTATTTATTTTTATCAGACAATGAAAACCTGTTTCATTTTAGTGGAGACCTAGGTTGATGTGTTCACCTTTGTGAGGCCCAGGTCAGTGCAGTGCATGTAACAGGAATTCTGTATTTTCTGAATAAATTGATTCAACCATAATTTCCCTTTTTACACTGGTTGCAAGAAAGCTTAGGGTTAAATGCAGTTACTGTAATAGTCTATGTTGAGATATATTTATTTCCCTCAACAGTTCTGTTTTTATGTTTTTAGCTCCCTTTTAAACTAATTGAATATGTTTTAATTATAATCCACTGAAAATCCTTTTGAAAACAGGTATAGAATGTTATAAAAGAAAATACATTTTATTTTCTAGATGATAAAAAATAAAATAACTTAACTTTATTTTTATCTGACAATTTATGAGATTAAGTGCATTTGCACTGAAAAAATATGTTGCCACATTTCTAAAGCATGACCAGACTTTTAGACGGAAAAACAACACAATCAGAAAATACATCTACTAGATGATGAAAAACAAAATAGTTGAACTTTGCTTTTTTTTGTTATAAGACATGAGGAGGCATATTCAAGATACATAAAATATTTGCTATTTTGAAACTTCCAGAAATAAAATTTAATATTAAAAACGAAAATCCCTGAAGGCCCTAGCCTTGTGGTTTTATAAAATTGTGTCCTTTAAACCTTTCTGCAAGTGAAGAGAAAGACCTAAATCTAAGCCCAAATTTTAGACAGATAAGGAGAGAATAACATTTAGTAGCCTGTTTAGCTTATCATGCAGGGATCCTGTCACTGTGCCATGAGACAACAAGATCCAAAGCTCTTGATTCAGGACTTGCTCATACCTTGAATTTCATTAAAGGAGAGAGGGCAGAAAAGAGACCAAGTCAAACTGAACCAGGAAGTCACTCTGAAAAGGATGACCTGGCACATTCCTGTTTTCCTGGTGTCGACTGCAGTTACAGGGCTGAGAGGATCATGAAGTCACAGCCTCCCTTATTTAGTTTTCGTTGTTGTTTGTTTGTTTGTTTGTGTAAATCAGCCCCTGCTAGTCCCTAATGCAGTCTCTTTTCAAATGGTGTTAAAAATGAGAGGCTATTTAAGAGCTAGGTTTTCTTTAAAGTATATTTCCATTTTTGTAATCAGAAATGCGCTTTCTTGTACTAATAGCTTTAAGGTAGGCTCAAAGGAAAAGAATTGTGTGCGGGGTGTAGCTCCAAGTTTTAAACGTCTGGTATTAATGACATATAAGGAAAAAATGAGAGTGTGTTAAGATCAGTACTTCCCTCTGGTGGGAGAGTTCATGAATGTTTTGTCTAACAAGGGAAGTGACTGACATTAAATTAGCTGTGAGCACACAGCAAACTTCTAGGAAAGTGAGTCACAGAGTTCCTGTTTTCTCTCCTTTGGGAGTTCTGAGCATGTGAAACAGAAATTAAGAGGACTTGTTGTTCTGTCAGTGCTTTCTCAGTTAACCTCCAGAGTAGTCTTTTTTATTTATTTTTTTTAACTGATGGGTTGTAAAATCATGGTCACTTATTTGGTTCTTATGTAGCTTATTCTAGGTTCTAGTAAAAATTATTAAGAAAAAGTGAGCACTCACATATTAAATAGAAGCATAAAGGAAAAAAAGAAATTGAGAGCACATGACATACTGAGTCTCTAGTTGGCTCCTTTCAACTTTTCCAAAGTTTATGTTTCAAAATTCAGGAAAATGCAAATAGTGTTGGAAACTTGGAAATGCTGAGGAACATGACTATTATTTTAATCATGTCTGAAAAGGGTCATGCATTGTATTTTAATAAGATCATCAAGAAAGATAAAGACACCTAAATTAAATTCAAGGAAAATTGTTAAGTATGCAATCAATGTTTAATTAGGAATTGTAAGCTTCGATTGACATTATCTTCATTCCTATCTTAAATTTAGATTTCCACTATTATGTGTCTTTAACTTTACTTTTATCTTAAAAGGTTTTCTTTTGGATTTACTACATAAATCTGATGTCAAACTAGAAGACTTTGAAAATAGTTTTCATTTGCATGTATTTAAACACAAATTCTCTTTCATTTTCATGTTTAATAAAGTGATAAGATAGAAAATAATGCCAATTAAAAGCACTGACACTGATGATCTGAGATTGTTTGAAAACAAATTCAAGTACGAATTTTTTTGGAACAAAAATCTAACTCCCCAAAACGCACATATTTGCATAGTGATTGCGATCAGCGTGAAGAGTTTATTGTTTCAGGGACAATATTCTCAGGAAGAGGTTTGAGTTTCCTATGAGTCCAATGATTGATAGTTCAATGGAGAAATATTCATAGAATGTTAAATTTTTGAAGGTTTTTTTTTCCCCTCAAATGAATTATTTTGCAAAATGGGTATTAAAGTACTTTAAGCACAGTTAGTAAGGTACTCCTTGAATGGAAATAAAATCCTTATGAAATCTAGAAATATTTTAGGCCACAGTAAAGTTAAGTGTGCCAGGTAGTGGCTTGTCACACTGTCAAGATACAGTTATTGGCCCTGACTGGTGCAGCTCAATGGGTTGCATGTCATTCTGCACACGGAAGAGTTGCTGGTTCGATTCCCTGTTAGGGAACAAGCCTAGGGGTGCGAGAGGCAAGCAATTGATGTTTCTCTCACACATCCACATTATTCTCCCTCTCTTGCTCTCTCCCTTTCCCTCTCTCTAAAAATAAATAAAATATTTTAAAAAGATACAGTTATTGCATGTAATAAAACTGTAGAAATTAAATTTGATTTCACATAAAATATAAATATGTATTATTAGTTTTAGAACTTAATTTTCTATTATCTTTTATCACTTTTAATATTTTCTTGTAGATCAGCATATTCTAAAGTGCATTCTTGGGAACATTAGTACTGTAAAGCTTGCCACACACAAAAAAATGTGTTACTCATCAAATAAGATTGATAAAAGCTATGTATTATGAAGATATATTCATAATTATTTCAGGTTTGATAATGACATTGTAAGATTGTTTAAAAAAGGGCTGATCTTTTAAAGATGCAGTTTAAAATATTTGTGAATGAAATGATGTAATTTCTGGCATTCATTTCCACATATTTTGAAAGCAGGGAAAAAAAGGCTAAGGGTAAGAAAAAGGATAAGTTAGCCACGGGTTGATGTTACTGAGTTTGAGTGATGAGTACATGTAGGTTCATTATACTATGTAGCCTACATTTGGGTGTTTTGGTGATGGTTAGAAATTCTCCACAATAATAAATTTATTTGTTTATCTGTGTTCTTCCCAAAAGTATTGAACATAAACTATTCTTTTCAAGGAACACTTAGTAATATCGCTCCTGGACATTTTGGGAATAACTATATGATAGTAGAACTAATGTTTTTCCATGTATCATTGCCCATGATATTCTAGGCTTCTATCACATGAAAAGTCTTACTTACATGTAGAAAAACATTAAGATAACAATGAAAATATTTTAAAAAATCCCTTTATTATTTCCTTTATAAATTCCTTTATACATTCCTTTATAAATTCTAAGGGGGCTGAAGTACCCATAAGTAAAACATCTGAATGACTAATATTTTTCAGTTTCATCAAGATTTACTTTGTATATAAATAGAACATGAGAAATATTGTTAAAAGAAATGCAATTTTAAAAAGAATGATTGGTAGCCCATATTTTGAAAGATAAGAAGCAATTATTTTCAATTGAGTATTAGCCATAAATGTAGTTACAAATGCTTAATAGCTCAATGGTAAACTCTGTTAAAAAACACCAAACAGCATATTGTAGTCAACCTCAATGATTGTATTTTTATATTTTTTATCCTAAATTTTGCATACAATTCAAACATCTGTTAAAATCCCATTTGTATACCTATAAATTATTTCACATTCTAGGAAAATTATATTATGTAGAAATATTCCTCAAAATAATATCCTATAATTTCTAAATAAAATTTACAGTTTTGTATAAAATTCTTTGAAATTTTGCATGTGTAAGAAAATGCATTTTACTTTCTAAGTAAATTAAAGAAATTTCTTATTTTTTAAAATAAATTATACATACCTTTTTAACTTTCCATCTAAGTAAAGACAGCCTGTATTACTATTTATAGCTGTCTTTTCATTCCAGCTTTTTTAGAGACTAGAAAACATTTTTATTGTTGACTGTTATAAAAATTCAAGCAAGAACCTTTGCATTTATTACGATATACTGACAAAAAATGCATTAATTTCCATTGATGCCCATTAATTTGATAAATGTTTTGTCATTTGTACCATTTGCACTGTCAAAACAAGTTAATTATATCTTACTGACATTTTTGACAATTGCTTTAACTCCAGCAAAAAAAGTGTGTCTTACTTGCTTTAAAAGATTCACTCTTGCCTATGGAAAGACTGAACGAAGCAAGAGACTTTGAACATGTCAGAAGTCTTGCACGGCTCAACTCATGATCAACGGTAAACAATGAATCCTCAGAACTATTTTATAGAAGGGCTCATATTTTGTAGTAGAAAAATACTATGTACCTGCATAATCTGTTCTTGCATAATGTCCATCTTCAGATTTAGTAGTTGTAGTTGTGTTATCTGTGTTAAAAATTAACAATAAAGATTGATTGTTTCTTAATATATAATATCAAAATTATATTCTCCCCAACATTATTTTCATTGCCATTAAGGAATTTTAACAACTATACTTCTAAGCAATCTTTATAGAAAGGCAGATTTACAATGTCAATTTTAGCTTGACAGTGAATAATAGAATGATACTAGTTTTCTAAAGTTTAAGAGAAGGAGAAGTAAATTAAAGAAATTTCTAAGGGGGCTGAAGTACCCATAAGTAAAACATCTGAATGACTAATATTTTTCAGTTTCATCAAGATTTACTTTGTATATAAATAGAACATGAATTTATAATAGAACTTAGAATTTCATTGTAAAATATTTTATCGTAATTATAACTACGATAAGCTGGATAAAAATTAACAAGTCAAAAATCAACAAAATCTTTCTGAACAAGAAACAGAGTAGAACATTCTCATATATCCTGCTTTAAAAAATGTATTTGAAATATTTTTATTGAATCGATACATAAAAATGGAGTGATTGAATTCCAAGACTGTCTACTAAATCTGTAGGTTTTTTCTAAGATGAATTTGATTTTCTTTTTTTCCCCTCTGCAACGAAAGAGCCTGTTGTCTTCCGAATATTAGCTTCTGTGTTCATGGCATTGTGCAGATACAGTCCCATTATATAGAAAATGATATGGACCATTGCTGATAAGCCCTCCAGCTCCTATAATCAAAACGAATGCTACAGTAGACTCTACTATCCATTATAAATCAGAACTGCCTTTCAGAAATGAAACAGCTGCCTAATAAGAAGTTATCTTCGCTTTTCATTTCTACACAAAGACTAAAAACATTCTTTGAAATGCATTTTAGTAGGAACATTACCTTGACATCGACCCAACGACATGACTTCAATTTTCTCCTGTTTCTGACACGACGCTTCTTTGATTTGACACGCATTATCATAAGATTTCCCATCAGAAGCACAGAGGGGATTGAAGTTGGTTTGAGAACAATCAATGTTGCACACACACCTAAAGAAAGAGAAATAAAAATATGATATCAATAGTGTTGTTACCACATTACAAATAAAACACAAAGTGGAAGAATTGCTAGGTTGGCAAAATGCAAGTTGGCAAAACTGAATTGTTTCCTTCAATTTCTACCTGATGTAAAAAGATACACAGAACTGATGATTCAATGACTGAAAAATGGGTAAAAGATAAAAACGGAAAACTCAGAAAATAATCATCAGTTAGTTTCTGCCACTGGAACTTTTAAAGCACGTACATGCAAAGCATGTACATGAACTCCCATGCTGACAGCTGCAGAATCAGAATAGGCTGAAGTAGCCATGAAGCTCTGCTTTACACTCTTCTGAAATGAAATCTTACTTTGTTTGTTTTTTCTCAGGATATTTGAATGGAGAAAGCCTGAGGAAAATGATGTAGATGATATTTAACAGAAAGCAAACAAGGAGACTTTGGAACGTAATCAGAAGTTAAAGTTCCTCAGCATAAACAAGGATGCACATAAAATGTGCTGAACCAGAATCTCCAATGGCCCTTAACATTTTGGGGGACCACCAAACCCTTTGACAATCAAATGAAAGTTATGAATCTCTCCTCATAAATATACATATTCATATAAACAACTGCATACTATTTTAGGGGTTTCGGGAGTCCCTTGAAACCTAGTCCATGGCCTCTTTCCCAGATACATTGCTCTTTTTCTACTTCAATTTTAAATAATAAATTAATTATCATTCACGATTTTAGTATGTTTTTTAGTATAAATGAAAAGTTGGTGAGTTAATGAGAATTAGGTCACATGAATTAGAAATATTAGATATTTTAAGCAAACTTTTAATGATCTTTTCTATGTTCTTATAATTCTGTGTTTTACAATATATTTTGTTACTCAGAATATTGTGTTGTCTACAAATATTTACTGCCATAGACTATAAACTCATATTTTATATTTTTATTAGTAATTATATTGTATTTCTAAATAGATTATATATTTCTTAAAGTGGTGAAGCACACATTTTACTTCTGTATATCTTCCTTAGAGCCAAGCATGTACTATAGTAATAACAATAACCAGCAGGATACTACTCGCTGGGTTCTGAACAAGCATGACTTTTTTTAATCATCACCAATGACAAACCAATGATATTATATAAGGTCAGAGAGCTAGTAAGTTGTGGAATGAGGACCCCCTGGAGATGTGCCAAAATAAAATACAATCTCTTTCTTCTTATAATGAAATGCGTGTTAGAATGTTCTGGAAAACTTAAAATATACTGATTCATATGCAGGTTTTGGGGCTCTGGTAAATCTGGAGGAAAAGCCTAGAATTCTGTGTTCTCAAGTAGTCAGCTGGCATCAGCCTCACTTCTTGGGACTCACTAATCTGTTTGCTGATTGAATGAGAAAGGGTTTGTCTGCACACCAGGTCTTAGAGCACAGTCCCCTAGGCCATTTGTCTCAGAATTAGCGAAATCTCTGTTAAAAAGTCTGGCAGAAAATAGGCTCATGTACCTTTTTTTTTTGTTGGTAAGAGAACTGCTTTAGGAGCCCTTGGTATTTTTACTTTCACCTATTTAGGAACAGCTAGCTAGAACAGATGGTAACCTAGAAGATTTAAATGCTTAAGTGATCGAGGAGTGGTGTTCCTACTTTGGCCGTGATGTTGCCATGTGAGGACAGCTATTGCGATCATGACACTGCTACCTGGGCTGATTCTTGGCATCCGAAAAATCTGAGATCAGGAGCTGCCTACATTTCACAGAGCTTTTGGTCTTACTCACAGTGGATCTAAGGAAGTGACTTTGTAGATCAGGCTCGTTTTCCTTAACCACTTGTAGTAAATAAAGAGGGGAAGGGACTGACGTTTTTAAAAAAGTGTTTCCATTTACCTTCAAGACAGTTTAGGTTTTGGCTGTTATGTTGGCCCCGAGGGGCCATCTCCATGAAAGACACTGAAACAACGACCAGTGAGTAGCAGCAGAACAGAGAGAAAGGTGTGTTCTCGCTTCTATCATTAGCTTGTGTAAGATATCAAGGGCTTGCAGGTAGCTGAACATTAAACCCCCAAAATTTCAGAGACATACACTATACATATTCTTGACAAAAAAATGACTGGTAGTTCAAAAATCCATTTGGTATCATTACAAAATGATAAAATAAGAATAGAGATGGAAAGAGAAAATTTGGTTCAAATGTTTCAGTGAAACATTCACTTGATTAAGCCATAGCACCAAAGGAACACAATTGTTCAGGCCACCTTACTCCTGGCAACATACTCCTTTTCCAATTTTATATATATAAATATATATAAAATAAATATATATGAAAATATATAAAATAAATATATATATATTTTTAGTTTGATCTGATTTTAGTTTCACATATTTTCTACTGCTGGCATCTTCTTCCCTTTCATTTTCTAGCACTGCTCACTCAGGGCCTCCTTACATGTTTGTTTTGCCTTTGGAATTTCCTGACTCTTGTTGCCTCAAATAAACTCTTTAGGGAGTGGCTAAGAAAAAAGTATAGATACATTTGGCATTTTTCTTCTCATCTCAAAAGGAGGACCTCAATTCCTTGAGGCAAGAGTAAGGTAGAGTCATGCCTCATAAAAGCATGGATAATTTATCTTTTTCTCTGCTGTATACTATCATTGCATCTCCCTCTTTCCTCCTTCTTCGATGGTCCTGCATATATTAAATAAATGCAAGAGTACAGTAAAAATTATTTGCTTATGAATTTTATCAACTATAGGAAATTGGAAGTCTATGGAGAATAATTTTCTTTTTTTGAATAAGGGGAAGGAGTTTCAACAATTTGCAGAAAGGGCTTGAAAGCTATATATCTTGGGAAAAGGCATATGCTGTGACTGGTTTACCAAGGACCTACCATTTCCATGTTTATGTTAGACCAATGGACTCTGATTGTATGATCACTATTTACTGTAATTTTTGTATCTAAGTTTAAGCTTAATTAGTTATAAAACCAAGCAGGATTCTAGACACATTTTCTGAAACTCTTAGCTCATCCTGATCTCTCTTGGTAGTGGCTAAATAATTTTTGGTGTTCCCTGACCCACATACTACCTTGCATACACTAAACTTTCAGTAACTGCATGGTCAATAGAAGAATAGATAAAATAAATGAATATAGTAATATTATTCTATATTCTTAAAGAAAGGATAAAATTAATATGAACTATTATTACTATACTGCCATAAAAGTAGCCATAGGATGGCTAAATAATTTTCTTGATAAATGTTAAGTGTCCTCATTGAGATCAAATAAATATTCAATTGAATATGAAGATATTGATAATATTAGCTTACTTAAGGATAGTGCCTCCCCCCGCCCCTGCTAAATGCTTTATATGTTATTACTCCTTTCACCCTTCTGTCTGTATGAGGCAGCTACAATTACTATCTCCATCTAACAGATAAGAAAATTGAGTCTTGGAGAAGTCACACAAATTGTATGGGAAGAACCCAGTTTCAAATACAAGTAGTGTGATGCTAGAGCTTGCACTCTTCTATGTATTGCTCAGTATAAGAAAAAGTAAGACAGACCAAAATTCTTACTATTAACTAATTAGAGGAATATCTGAATGAATAAGATGTGAAAAAAAGATTATGTCTACTCTTGGAAAATTTATTATAATGTTATAAATTTAAATCACATTGACTTTTAGTCTCTATCTTCCCAAACAAATGATCTAGGCTTTTTTGTGTGTGTTACAGTAATAGATCAGTGAATATTCATTGAAAGATATTCTGAGCTAATGCCTGGTGTTAGAATGAATAACTAATCTGACAACTTAAGGCATCAATTGTTTAGAATATTTTATCCTTCACAAAACTCTATATAAAGTTGGCTTTACATAAAAACACACATTTAGACAGATCACACTTGCACAAAAACACACACCAAAATTGACTCTACTGAAATGACAAAATTGGAAAGTCTTAGCATTAAATCTTTCCAAGACTTGGCTTAGGAACTTTTAAAGAGTCTGGAATTTTTAGAAATCCATATTCATGGGCAGAGGGTTTGTGTGTTTATATGAATGAATGAATTTGTGTACGTGTGTGGAAAGTAGACTCTGTGGTGGCACTTACTGCATTGTTAATGTGCCTACTTACTAGTTTATATCTTTACTGTTCTTCATCCTTCTCACCATTGAATTCCTGGTACCTAGTACTGGGCCTCATAGCAAGTTTTCAATAAAGGCTTGTTGAATTAATTACTGAAAGAATGACAGGATGGGTTGGTGGGAGTTAAACTTGGTCATTGTTCTAGGCATTAACACCCAAGAGAGAGGACCAGTCATATGTTCATATAAACTCTCACCTAACTTTGTGTTACTTGGCACATGGACTCTCTAAGGAAGAAGGAGGCCCTTAAAGAACTAAGGTTCACCTTCCTCCTTTTATTTGTGTCTACACAAAGGAAAGAGCACTAGCCCTTAGTGTCTTCAATGGCATTGAAATCCAATTGTGAAAAGAAGTTTGCCAGGCTATTACTTAAACTTTAAGGTATTTGGGTGCAGTGTTGGGGAACCAACATGATTTAAACATGTCAATGGCTTAATTTATTGCTACTTCAAACTACTGAAAAATAATAATGCTTGATAAAAAGGTGACAGAATTATCATATAGTGTGATGGTGAGATTACAGGTCACCCTGGGTTAATTATGTAAATGAAGCCAGGGTTTTGTTGTTTCTTTTTTTCTCTACAGAAATGAAAGGCAGACATTTTTTACAACAGAAACTATCCCTTCTTCGCTGCCTTTGGCAAATAATTGCATTATTATTCATTCTGAGAGGAGTAACTAGTTAATTACAGCATGTCACAAGTATTTTACGTGAGCCAGGGATTTGTTAGGCTGAGGACTGCATGGATGGCTTTAGGGGTTTTGGGGGTTTTATTTTTGCATTTTCTTTTCTTTTTTTCCCCCAGCCTATCTCAGTCTTTTGACATTTTGGCACTGCGATTACATAGATTT